AATACATAATAACGATGTAAAGACTCTTAAATGTAAACGTAAATAATCAAACAAATACACGGCGAAAGAAGAGTCAGTAGATTACAAAGAGAAAAACAAAACATTTAATTAATTAAATTATTATGCGACGATACATGCGCACGGAACGGCATATATAAATGTGTAAATGTATAAACATGTGTAAAAATATAACAAGTTTCGGCTACAAGATTGAGCCCTCTTCAGATATAAAACGCAAAAGAGAAATAGACGATAAGTGAAAATTAAGTAAAAAACAAATCATGTCGCAATTAACATTAGACGTAAAGAAATAAAATTCAGATGGATCTCAAAAGTACGATTGAGTAATCAAGGTGTCCATTGTCCAAGCACAGATCGCTAGGCAAGACCGAAAAAAAAAAGTTATGAGAAAAAAGACAGACTTTGACAAAATTTAATTGTTGTGTTTAATACTTGATAATCGTATATTTTAATAGTCATCAACTACACGAGATATTAACCAAGTTGATGAAGTCAACTTGGTTTTTTACGCACACACATGCGTTTGTTACGCTCTTTCTGGCCACGTTCTTCGCGAAGAAGTGAAACCGTGTCGCCCGCGCTGTTTCTAACGGCGACCGCTACTTTCGTGAACGATCATTGCTAACAAGTATTCTTAATCGAGTCCGATTCACCTGCTTCGGCTCCAATAGGCTCTTTGTAAGAGAAACAGTTTTAAGGTCATTAACCTTAAACGCCTCGAACTAAAGGCGGGGCTGTCCGACCGAAAAGCAGACGAGGGGCCAGGCACCTTTTGCTTTCACTTTTGCTCGCCGAATATAATCGTCCAAAACGACTGTGCACACGCGCGCGAGGTTCTGATATGCCAGACACGGAAAGCCGCCGAGGAAGAAGACGAGGACGGTTGTGAAACCCGCTCTTAGCTCAGAAAGAAAGGGAAAGGGTCATATGACGCGAAGAAATGGACAGCGAAGAGAATGCAAGAGTAATAAATCAAAAATTAATTTACCGTGTAGTAGCGTGCGCAGCGCCAAGTGGTACAAGATTGGATCTGCGAAGAATTTCTAGAATCGTCGCCTCAGTGATCGGAAGAAATTGACGATCCTCCAATGAGGGTAATCTTGATCTTCCTACGACTTGATCCAATTCATCCTGTACTGCCCTTGCTGCTTCTGGATAATTCAACATGAAAACCATCGACCACTCCAGAGTACTCTTCACCGTTTCCATACCCGCGGAGAAGAGATCGGCCAGAATTTGTTGCATTTGACGAACTGTGTAAAGAAAAGAGCTCAATCATTAAAAACAGTCTTTGCGTTATATATAAATCGTTAAATTATATAAGTATAACGTTATTAATATTGTTTGTACAGAGACAACTAGCATAATCCTTTGAAAAAAATCGATTTTTACTCACCTTTATCTTTTCCCTCAAAAAGCTGATCTTCTCGATTTTCTTCCTCAGCTTTTTGAATTTCGTACAGGTAGGAATCGAGGATATCATTAATGTTATTCTTGTCATACATTGCTTTATGCTCATTGATAACTTCTTGAAAGAATTCAGCCATTTCTGATCGATTTTTTTCGATTTTATTTTGGACGCTATTAATCCATGGACAGTGACGCAATAACGGTATATGATTCGCTAATGTCACTTTACCAAACAGTTTGAATCCTTCGTTAATGAGATCCATAAACCTCTTGAATTTCGGGTCGCCATGGTGGAAACGTATTCCCATTATAACCGAGCAGATCACATTACTGATTGATACACAGAGAGAGGACGTCAGGGTTGTGGGCGCTCCACGTCTCATTGCCAATCTCTTAAGAAATATCTCGACTTCGTGCTAGATTAAAATATTGTTTATTTTACAAAAATTTGTATTAAATTTTTTGAAAAATTTTGGGAGCAAAATATTTTTATTAATTTTATTCGTATTTAGAATATTTGTTGTTTATATATTTTATTTGAATGAAGAATTACAGAAAAATGTATATTTTAATATATTTACATATTTAAAATTTCAATATTTTAGTGGCTAACATTAAGAAAATTAAACTTTTCAGGAGCATATAACCAACCTTCGTTGTTTAGAAGTCATATATTTTAAAAAAACTAGTACAATTTGTATACGTTTCGGTCAATATTTGACCATCTTCAGTACATTTCTAATAACATTATATTAATAACATTATATTCCATGTATTCGAACATTCCCCTTGAGCTGGCCGTGGAAAGCGTGCTAAGTAGGTGGAAAGAGATAGAAAACAACACGTCTATGCCTCTTCCGGAATTTGAAAACGCGATCACAATTATTTTAAAATCCACTTTTTTTATGTTCAATGATAAGTATTATGAGCAGATTTTTGGGCTGCCCATGGGATCTCCGTTATCACCTATCTTGGCTGACTTAGTGATTCAGGATTTAGAAAAAAATGTTTTTCAAAATTTAATTACACACATACCGGTTTATTATAGATATGTAGATGACATTGTACTTGCAGCTTCAAAAAATAAAATTAATGCTATATTAGATTCTTTTAATGCATATCATGAACGCATTAAATTTTCGGTCGATCATGGTGATGAGTGTAGTATCAATTTTTTAGATTTAAAATTAATATACGAGGATGGTTACATCATTTGTGATTTGTATAAAAAACCAACTAATTCGGGTAGATACCTCAATTTCTTTTCAAACCACCCGCTTTCACAAAAGAGAGGTATGGTGACGAGTTTGGTGGACAAGGTTTTATTTCTTTCGCATCCCAAATTCCAACAAAAAAACATGGAATCCTTAATTAGCTCCCTCCTAAACAACGGTTATCCCTTACAAATGTTATTTAAGATTATCCAAGACAGAATTATTATACTTTCCAACAAATATAATTTCGAAATAATAAATAACATGGATCAGAACTTCGATGGTGAATTAACAAAAAAGACAAATTATTTTATTATACCATTTTTAAAAAAGACTTCAAATAAATTCAAAGGAATTTTGAAAAAATACAACCTCCAACCGGTGTACAAACCATTAAATAGTCTTAATAAATTTATTACTTTAGGCAAGGACAAAATAAGTAAAGATGATCAATCGGGTGTAGTATACAAAATAGACTGTAAAGAATGTAATAATACATATGTGGGCCAAACGAAACGAAAATTAAAAACACGCTTAAAAGAACATATTAACGATATCAAAAAACCGGTTGAATCGCTGTCTGTAATTTCAAATCATCAAATAAGTGATGGACATGTTATGGATTGGAATAACACTGAAATTTTAGATTTTGAACAATCTTTTTTTAAAAGAAGCATTTCAGAAATGATCTACATAAAAATGCATACAGATACCTTAAATAAGCAAAGTGATACCGATCGTTTCCCTGACGTATACCTCCCTCTTCTCAAATAATATCTCTATCCCTTCTTACTCAATTCTCTCGTCAAAACCCCCTTCTCCCCTCTCGTCCTCTCTCTAGGTGAAAAGTATAAATAGACCGAATTTCGGACTCTCGACATACAAAGAAAAGTACGTTATTATTAATAACATGTAAGTGTGCAATATCAGTGAGATGTGTACAGTGAGATACGTGTAAGTTTTTGAAAATTATTGTCTAATTTCTTTGCTTCCTTTCTCCTTCTTTTTGTTCGTTTTTCTTTCGGTTGTAATAAGTTATTCTTTAAAACAAATAATTTATTATTGACATATTGTTAAATAATACAATCAATAATATCTATAACACAAATTTTTTAAATTCTGAAAAAATTAATCAGGTTTCTAATTTTCATATTTAATTCACACATAGAACTGACCACTTGCGTGTCTCCTGTGGGTCTGATCACGGTATTGAATACATGTAGAGAGTTCCAATAAAACTTAAAAAGACTTAAATTGGTCTTATATTCATATAGAAAAAATTCGGAGTCAGATCAAGAAGAAAATTGTACCTCTTGACGGTAAATCAACAGTAGTCATACCAATATGAAAATTCAATTAATAATTAATAATAAAGATTTGTACGTCACCATATTAAATGTTGCGAACCGTTGTATAAATACTAAATTTATCTTTACACGTCTTTTTTCGAGGAAATGCGATATTTCTATTTAAAATGTATGTCACCATATTAAATGTGCGAACTGTTGTGTGATTATTAAATTTATCTTCACACGCCTTTTTTCAAAAAGATGCGATATTTCTAGTTAAAATATAAGATTAAACGAAAATGTTTTGCGTTTTTAGATTAGGATTACTATCGATTGATTTCGGTTTAATATAATGTTATTAGAAATGTACTGAAGATGGTCAAATATTGACCGAAACGTATACAAATTGTACTAGTTTTTTTTAAATATATGACTTCTAAACAACGAAGGTTGGTTATATGCTCCTGAAAAGTTTAATTTACATATTTATTTATAGTTTTATATATTTATATTACGTTGTTAAATTATAAATGATATATGATTGGAAACAAGACCGTCTATATAAATATTAAGACTTTAAATACAAAGCGCCTTTTCGGTCGAGTGTTAAGATGTTGAACTACTATCTAATATACATTCAATTAAATTGAATTAATATTTCAGAAAATAAATTGAGAGCCGATGAATTTATCGGATTCACACAATCAATCTGAAACAAATAATCCCCCCAAATTCTCCCAAATCTTAAAAAACTGTAATAAACTTATTGCGAAAAATATTGCCTCGGCCGGGAGTCGAACCCGGATCTCTTACATTCCGTGTGAGCGTCCTGAGCCTTTAGACTACCGAGACCTTAGCAACACTCTTCG